GTATGAACTTGAAGCCTGTATGTATGTAATGTATGGCAGATCAAAAATTCAGTATTGCCTACAACCACTTCGTATACCACATGTATAGGTGTATGTCAAAGCAATGTAAATCACTTTAGACATATACATACATAATTCCAAAAGCTTATGGCAATCTAGCCTTTTTGCCGGGCTTGCTAAAATTTTACGGACCTCTACCATAGCTGAGTATTGCACATTTTGTTAATTCGTTAAAAATTTTTCCAGCATATTTACTTCAATTTATCGCCAACGATTTCGTTGTTCTAGTCAGTCAAATGGGCTTTTATATCGTAAATGGAATTGATGTTCGAAAATTATATCCCTACTAAACAAGTTATCTCGGCACTAATTGCTGAAAACATATTTTTATCATGGCTAAAAGTGAGGTTCTGATTTGCATTTATTTTTAACAAATTAAAGAATGAATTTTACTCTTCGTGTTATTACTTAATTAATTGCCTTTTCCATTCGATATATAAATTTTAGTTAGTGAAGTGATTTTTTTTTTCATTTCTCTTTTTGTTTTGGAAAGAATAGCAGTCTTTCTTAAATGTGCCTGTACATTTAACAAGCAAGCAATATGGTAGACTAAATATACGACAATTAAAATGTCTCAACGAACACAGCAATTTAATGGCAGGAGAGTTGGGTTCAAATGGTCAACTGCCCCATTTGGCTGCTGTTATCAATCCTTTCCAGTTACTTCCAATGTGATTATTTCCAAATTTTATTACACTCAAAGATGAAACACGCAGAGAGTTTAAGGTATTACAGAGAGCGCATGTGCGGATAACAGCATGCGTGCCGGTTCAATTTGTTTATTTTGCTTTACGAAAATAATATAAAAAGTTAAAAGCCTGTAAATAATATACCAATTTATGATGACTTTGAAAACTAGCTATGTTTAAGTATCTTTTTCCTTTTGCTCCGAAAGCTGCTGTATGGCAACAATGTTTATTAGCAATCTATGTAATAAGCACAGCACGGCTTAAAACTTTATCCCCACTACAAGCTAACTTCAACTGATGGACCACTAGAGCGGATCAAAACATAAAAAATAAAAGTTAACCAACGGTCCAGAAACACTAGTCTTATGCTGTTATTTGTATTTATAAGCCGAGAATATGCTCGCCCGAGTATATTATATGTTTATATGCACATAAATTCATACATTCAGGTACCAGTGTGCAACGTGGCTATTATTACTAAAATTAGCTTACTGTTAGTTTTTAAAGCAAAACTGTTGTCCTTTATTGTTTACACATAATTTAATTTTTTAGACTAATTTAATAGAAATTTGACACATCCAAATGCACTTGCAAACTTTTGCGCTCAGACTCAAGGATGAACCGCAACAACTACAACAACCAACTGTGTTTATACAGTTTCGCAATCAGACTCTTACTGTGACGAGTTTAGCAATATTGCTGTTGTTTTACAATTTAATATGAATTTAACTTTAGCCGCCAACGAAATGCGGCCGAGTATTGACTCTTGTGTGCCTTGCACAATGACAACGATAAATCTAAGGAAAGCCTGGAAGCAAAGTTGCAACACTGTGAGAAAAAATTTATTCCATTCCTTCGATTATGATTTCCTCTAGCTCGACTATGCTTAACTCGTTGCTGATGTACCAACACAGTAACTATAGGCAACGACGAAATGAAAGCAAAATGAGCATTAGACACTGTAGCGTAACCTGCATCCACACACCGTCCTTGTCCCACAAACAGAAAACTTCATTAACCAGTGCGGTTATGTCCGGCTAATGCAAGCAGGTGTGCAAGGTTGCTGTTTATCAAGCAAGTGTTGTGACAGGATGGCTGCCAGTTGACGATATCTAAACGCCATTATAAGCGCGAGAGATAATAGTTGGCCGATTTATATTAAGTTGAAGTCACAATAAATAATTCAAGAACCAATGAATTCAAAGAATTTACCATATGAGAATTTTCACCTAAAATTGGTCGGACTAAGAAAACATTTGTGCTTTAAGTTGTCTTTACACCACGTAAGTATATCGGTAAATATATAAGATATCTTAATAACTATGAGCGTGAATATTTAAGTTGAATGGCAGAGTACATGAAATCAGTCCAAACCTTCCAATATAGTCAATTTCAATCTTCCGTATGTATTGAGCAATATGTGCGATATTTGAATTATTTTACGGGGATCTGTTTTCCTCACATCAAAGCTTGTACCTATAACAGTTAAAATGAAGAATATTTTATTAGCATTAAGTGAACGTATTATTTAAACATACATAATGGGGTTTGATATAAAAAACTTTTGAAACCGGTCTTTACGTTCTTCTAATCCGGATATGCGCAATATAATGATGTTGATTTTAATCGATTTACAATTTCGTCCAATAACGAATGTGTTATTCAACGAAATTTTTTCTTTTAGTTCTTACAAAACTGTAAGAGTATATAATTTTAAGTTCTACCAGAACTTTGTGACCTTTGGATATACATAAATAGGCTTTACGCTTAACGAACATTTATTTAAAAATTCATACTATCCTTTGAACTTCTATCGAAAAAGACGACGAATAAAGAGATCATAATATATTGAATTTATGACTAAAAAAGGGATTGATTGTCAATTGAAACTTATTGCTTTTGGTCGTTGTCATATATGTACATGGAATATAAAATGAACTGTTTAACTTTACACAATTTAAATTATTTTGTGCTTTGCCTATTTGGCTTCTGACGTTTTGTGCACAGTATTTATAGTCAATTTACTTGATGTCTCTCGTTAAATCTGCCTTATCTATCTACATACAGTTACATATATTTGCCTTATGGCCCATAAATATCGCTTGCCATTGTCCTATGCTCTGTGTTATATTGTCAATTTAAGGTCAAGAAAATAAGCAAGTTATGCGCCTACACTTAGATACATACACTAGTTGATGTAAAGGTAAAGATTTGACTCGATTGCCATGGCAATTATCCATAAAGAAGCCTTAAGTGGTAGTGGTATGCCAATTATACCAGAGAAGCCTGCATTGGAGATCTACTGCTGCTGAGCAAAGTGTGTAGTCTTAATACACACATCCACATATCATACCAAGTGATGAGTTTTGCAATAAATGTCAGCAATCAATACTATGTTTTACCGTATATTCACAAGAGTTTGGCATACTCATAAGCCGACCAATATTGCAGGGTAAAGCGTCTGCTGGTATATGCATGGAAAATTATTCGAATGCTATTTCTACTCCATTTACCAAGTCAAATTTTCAACTTGCAATTAATGCACCATTCCATCAGCTGCAACATAAGCTTCTCGTACCTAAATTTTCACCACATTGCTGTTGTGCTAGCTGCATGATGAAGTTGTTGTTTTGCTTAGATGTTGGTCGGAAAGTCTGAAGTGTTATACGCGCACGAAATTTTCTTTGGACCAAAGCCGGGCTGCATCACTGCACTGCGTAAGAAGGATTTCTGCTTGTATGCCTCTCTGACTCGACACCATAACAATAATATTTTGTCGAGCAGTGTTGAATGCAGCAAACACGCATGAAGCATGAATTAAAGGGAATTACTGGGTCAAGATGTTTGCGTGTACCTTAACTGCTAGGCTGCTGAGTTGTGACTCTGCTGGCTTACGGGTCTACGAACCTACAGGTGTGCATTCTTACCACTCGCACTATTTCGTTTGCAGTGAATCGTAGCAAGTGCATTTACACCTCTACCATTCTTCTGCTCACTTATGTAAATGTGTATGTAAGTTTACGAGCGTTTGCTGATTATTGTAACTCTACTCAAATACAGGAGGGCGAACACTAAATCAGAAATTTATTTTAAGTGTCGTTTTATGCGTAGGTTGGACATGTTTTAGAGCTTTCAATGCACATACATACATATGTATTTAGATGTACGGCAAGTAGAAACGCTTCTGAAGTCATGCGAGTACACTGCGTATACTTATTGTGAATGTGCCACTCAGCCAATACAATTCATCAATTATTTTACCATATGTAATACAATTAAGTTTGCTCTAATAAGAAATTAGGGTTTTTAAAATTGGTGTGCTGTTCGATAAGTTTTCCGAAAGTATATTTTGGAATACAACAATTAAGACAGATTATGGGAAGCTTTTGTGGAGTGGGATAGTTACGGAGTTTTAAGTAATCTCAGAATATCTGACGAAATTGGTGGAAGCACTTTTATGGAAGGAATATACTATACAAATTGAAGTAATCGAACAAATTTCGCTTAGCATTTTGTCATGCGGTGTCAAAAATGAGTTACATTGATCCTTAGTTTCACTATGATTATTATGAATATTTTAGTTAGATTTATTTTAATATTGATATTTCGGATGTAAACATGAGAGCGATTGGTTCGCAACTTAAGACTAAATTCACGCGCAACATTTTAAAAATAAAGCTCTTATTTCCTTGTTCTAAATTATATTGATATAATTACTATCACAAGAAATAAAGGTTACAATGGTCTTAAACTCAAAAAATCGAAGCCTGTGTCCTATTTGAAACCCTTTGTTCGATGTTGAATTATAAGCAAAAAATAAATTATTTAAATGTTCTACAAAATCTATTATTTCTATTTGTTATTTTAATTTTCCTTAATACGCATGCCAAAGAACATCTGCGCATACATATATCAGCCGTTCCTTTATAAGGTGGTTAACATTTACACAGCTAACATTTGCGCCTTCTCTATTTATTAACATTCTCTGATCAGGATTTAGCGAGGTCACATACCACACTTTCAGTCTGTTCAACAACCATTTTTCGCCGCCTGTGTGTCACATTTCTTCGACTGAGGGAGTTTCAATTTGATTTCAGTCGCGCTTTCTAAAATTCTACCCCTAAAAGGGAAGCGAATATTTCCACCAATCAGAGAGATGAAAACTGTTGCCTGATTAAAAATGGCTGCCACATTAAGATGTCGATGTGGCTCTATATAATTTATATAATAACTAGCAGACACATCGCCTTTGCGACATTTCAACTTCAGCTTCCAAATAGAACTGTGCAAGAGAATTTTAGTCTGATAAGATTTAGTGAATAAGTGCAACAATTTTATTTATTTATAACGTGTGATAGAAATTTGCGGAAATCGTGGAGTTGTTCAGAATGCAACATCATCCCGAACCGTCTTATATGCCGGAAGTGCCGTTTCAGCCTTTATGGGGGCAGGAAGCGCCACCTCCGCCTCCAATTGTGCCATATCAAGAATTAATCGCAGGCTTTCCCTGTACCGATTTAGGTGTGTAAATTTTGGAAAGAGTATTTAATTGTTACATATATATTTGGTGGAATTTTTAATGTTTGTTCTCAACAGCTCTTTGGCAACGCTCACAAGTAAGCAATTTGGTAAGTAATCACCGATCCACAAACAGTCGCAGCCATAATTCGGAATCGACCAACGGAAGCCTAACGAAAAAAACACGTCGACGGGTGGCATCGATGGCTCAACGACGGGCGGCAAATATTCGCGAACGCCGTAGGATGTTTAATCTAAATGAAGCGTTTGACAAATTGCGACGAAAAGTACCAACATTTGCTTACGAAAAGAGACTGTCACGCATCGAAACTTTACGCCTAGCAATCACATACATAGGATTCATGACCGAACTTTTGACTGGTGCCCCGATGTCGACGCACAAACCGCGTTCGAACGATCTTTATGCGGGCATGAATGGCCACCATCATCCCGGCCCGATCGGTCATCACCATCTTCATCCGTCGGCATTTCAAAGAGATTTCGTATCGCCCTATAGTCACAGCTTAGGCTAAGTTGTTAAGCTAGCTTTATAAATATAAGTGGAAAAAGAGCGAGGTGAAAAATAGCTTAATACTTCTGTTGATAAATGTACATTGTTTTTATTTTACATAAGCAATAAATGAAGCAAACCAAATTTTATTATTTATTGCACCGTCATGATTCACCAATAACAAATACAGGAGTTATGCATGCATATGATTATGGTCTTTGCAATGAGGGCTATTTAGCGCCAGAACGATTTGGCCCAGTACATTGAGCTGCTAATTGTTATCACAAGGACCATGTGCATATATCTGTTAAATACAGACAAATTCGTTCATCCAAATATGAATCCATTCTTATTGACGATCCATAGCGGAGTGAGCATCATAAAAAATAAGAAAAAAGCAGGCTGAAAAGTTCTTCTCGTGCATATTAAAAAGTGCCAATATAATTAATATTTTATTTTTAGACCTACCTTTGTTAATAATTGGGTTCGTTAGATATAGGTTTGACTGAGGAACGTTTTGATATTTTGAAAAGCTATACAGGATTAAAAAGAAATTTCATGGATTTTCAAAAATCAAAAAATTATTTTGTATGATCATGAACTGAGGACGATCAAGATAGCTGATACTCTCAATATGTTTAACAGGCGTGTTGGGCATATCGTTTGGGCATGCGTAAGCTCTAGTGGGAGAGCTCAAAATCTCGGCAATACACCGTGACACAAATCAACGAACACGATGACAAACTTGCTCCGGATCTGGCCCCATGTGATATTGAATATTATTATTGATACTGTTATCCATAAACTTTGCTAGTTCGGAAAATCGCTTTCAGCCGATAACGCATTTCCTTTTATTGCTTCATTTTATTTATGTATACCTGAGTACGCAAAAATCTTATAGTTTATGACTTAAAAGGACAATAAAGTGTATAATATTCATTTCTGTTCAAAGCGAACTTCTCATTCCAGCAAATTTACAGAGTACGTCGAAACATCTTTAACACAGGTTTCTAAACTTTTTAGTTGATAAGTAGTTTCCGCATTTTTTCGAAACAGCAAAAAAAAAATGTTATATTAGAGGAATTGAGTTTTCATAGCAACATTCATACTAATGCATGCACATTTATGTACTCGCAAATAGGTATGATCAATTTATTTGATCTGGCGATAGAGAAAACCGTCGCAGAACACACGCCAACGAAACGTTTTTTACTTGTTTGCAAAGAACCAAAATAGACCTGATAATCCCACTACGTAATTGCCATTGAAAAAAGGAATTATACACTTGTTAGTAAACAATGCGCCCTAACCGCAAATAGTAAGAAGTCAGGCGTATGAGAATCTCTGCACCTGACCGTGGGCATATACATAGCTAATGGAGTAAAGCGAGGAGAGACATATTAGTAAAGCGTAAAATTATAATTTAATTAAATGTAACAGATTGTGTAATATTCAGACGCTTGTGTGCTAGTGTGTGTTTGATGCGTTAAGGCAAACGAGATAAGGGATGCGTACAAAGCCAACCCCCTTAGTAATAGCTAATTGAGTGCAACCAAAGAAATAGCACAGAATTTACGTTTTGTTGTACCATGCATTGGTTAAAAGCTGTACGCCAGTATAAAAATATGTATGTGTAAAGCATATATAACTCAGCATAGTTAAAACACTTACACAAATTTAGTTATGTAGTATAGTTGCTCATTTGTGTGAACGAAGGAATAAACATTTCATATTTTACTTAATTGAATCCAAATTGGCAGATATTACTTGAAAGCTCCTTACAAAAATGCTTTATAAAACCTTTACAGTTATTTCCATTGCCAATTATAATAGGGTTGTTATGTAATATTCGAATGCCACATTTGTTTCACAATCTTCTGTGCTATAAGGGAATGTTGTATGCGCCTCAAAAAGGCGTGAAATATGTTTTGTGGAATTAGTGACACTTCATGCATAAAAGTGCGTACCCCGCCAAGCCAAATACTTGTGCGCCCGTGTATGCATCTCGAACAGTGATCAGTCGCTAAGTAGAGTAGCAACGCTCGAACGCGCCGGCGAGCAAGTGAGTGATGAGTGCACCCTCATTCTGCCAATTATGAAGGGCGGATTAACGTGCGCATTTGGCTTTGGTGTGTGCGCCGTATTGAAGAAGGCTCACGTGCCACCGATTAGCACGTGGGGAAAACATGACTTCTGATAGTCTTATTAAAACATTATTAAATAAAATTGTAGCAATTTTGAGAACTCCGGCACAGTAATGTCGCAATATGGACGGATTTTTCAGCCGTGAAGAATGATATGGAGTAGTTGAAATTGAAAACGTTTATTTGTTGGCACTTACACACCTCTAAAGGCTATGTGTGAAACAAATTGCGCTCATATTGAATTAAACAAGCTGCCGAAGCGCTATGCTGTCTGCTTCGTTCATATCAATCGTATGTTTCTACTGTTTTTCCTCCCATAACAAATTAATCAGATTAGCATTACAATAGCTCCGAGTACGTACATACATTGATTTAAAACACCCTGACTTTACCCAGATTTAATGACACTCCGTGACAAGTTGATTGCACTTGCAATTTTGTGCAGATTTTATTACATTTGCCACAAAAAGCAGTAGCAAAAGGTTGAACTAAATTAAACCGATATGATGAATTACTTTTACTTTATCTTATGAACAAGAGTACAGCAGCTTTATATGTTCTTCTTCTATTTCGACTCGCGAATTACAACTATAAAAATGGGGTAAATCGTTCACTAGTGTATCTTTTCATCATTTAACGAATTTACTAATAACTAAATAGAGATTTGGGCCAATTTCTAATCCTAAACACATGCACATAGCATTCATAAGTTGAGGAAAACCATGGACAAAGTCAAGAGCGGTTGTTTCCTGTTACAAATGCAAATATCCTCAAGGAGTAAATATATTCTTACATGCTGTACTTGAACTTGGCAAAGTAGACGTAGTGGAATTTTAAATAAGTTGCTGTGTGAACACAAAATTCCGTATTCACGACCAACAAAAGCATAATTCGACAACTACGACTGTTACGGTAAAAATTTCCTACGCGTTACCGTAGAATAGCCTGAAGAAAAATACAGGCTTTTATCTAATCATCTAGAACGTGACTATAAATCGCGATATAGCTGATAATTTCAATCAATTTGAAATTATTTCATTAAATAAGTTAAATGCTTGTGCCAATGAATTTAGTTGAAAACATTCGCCATGTCCACAGTGCAGTGTCGGACACATTCGACAGAATTAGAGTGTAAAGAAAACGTAGAGTCGAATTGGCTGAACGAGGCTCTCTTAACACGTCTGCTACAGCAAAATATAAAAGGTTTTCACAAAATCTTAAAATTCAATTGCCAATGGAGAACCCCGCGGAATTTTTCTTGCTCCATAACAATCGAAATTCAGTTAGAAGGTAAGTGGATTAACACTCATCGCTATATATTCGTAGTACTATTTTAGATTTTCGTAGATGGAAAATTACGAACAGGCCAATATGTGCTCAAGGCACAACCGTCAGCGAAAGTAAAGTGTTCAGACGCATTAAGTAGAGAATTTTACATGTATACCGAGTTGACGCCTGCCTTTGAGCAACTCTATGCTGACGTTTTTAAAGAGGTTAAATTTTCACAAATTGCGCAATCATTTTCTCAGGAATTCAATGAAGGTTCCATAAAAGAATGTATCCTATTAGAAGATGCACTTTCAAAAGGTTATCGGAATGCCAGCAACCCCGAAGGGCTTGATGTTACGCACATTGAATATGCTTTGAAAAAACTGGCTACATTCCATGCAGCATCTGCTGTTTATGCATCCAACCATCACGTCGCTTTATTTAGAGAGTTTAGACAACGTTTTCAAACTAGCACTTCTGTCCAGCACCATGGAAGCGCGTTGCTCATTGAGCGTGATGTTGTACTAAATCGTAAATTTATTGAAGGACTTCGCTTTTATGACATGCGTGAATATCAGGATAAGATAGTGAGTACTTACTAATGTGCACTGAGTCCAAATAAATTTGCGTATTTGAAACGTTTCCGTTTTGTAGAGGTCTTTTGCAAAAGCCCTCCAGCGTCAAAAGCAGTTACGCGCTACTTGTGATGTCAGCGAATTCAATGTTCTCTTGTATGGCAATTGTTGGCCAAATAATTTTCTCTACAGCTACGATGCTTTCGGCAAAATAAAAGATGTGCTGTTCACTAATTTCAGCAACTGTCAGTGGGGCTCACCTGCGATTGATTTGCTCGCGTTGCTACTATCAGCGCCTTGCTTGGCAAATAAGTTAAGCAAATTTGATTACTTCGTTAAGGTATATCATGATGAGTTGTGCCTCAACTTGAAGTTATTGGAGTATAACAAAGACCCTCCGAAGTTAACGGACCTACATCTGGCCATATTAAAGTTCTATTGGTGGGGTAAATGCTGTTACAACTACATAGTACATATGTCTAAATGTATACAAATATCATTAATACGGTTTTACTTGACAGGTTTTGAAGTGATCGAAAAAATATTGCCAGCTGTGCTGTTGTCGTTTGGCGTTAGCGAGTTCCACTTAAATGAAATCCTAATACGCAACCATGAGCTAAATACGGTATTTATCAATGAAGCTTATGCGAATCCCCGATATGCCAGGGAAATTGCTTTGATTTTACCGTGGATGGAAAACCGAGGCTTCCTGGAGGCATGACAGCGATTAAATTATGCGGCATTTGGCTGACTTCTGACTTGTAACTCTGACCATACATTATATGAACATATAAAAATACATACGTATATCACAATCATGAAGTAAAAACCTTAATTGCAATAATTTACTTATTATTGAGGTTGCTACCAAATATAATAGTATCTTTCAATTTGTGAGATATATTATAGAGAATCTTTATCTGCTATCAATATGCCCGTGTGCCAAAAATGGATTGAATCAGATCAATAATTCCCTTAGTCTAAATATACCTAATAGACAAATTTTCGAACTTCCGGCTAACTTTATACTGCAAATATCGGTGAATATGCGAGTTAGCTTAATGAAATAAAAACAGCGTGTATGTATCTTTTTGCATGAAATGGATAAAATCGGTTTAAAACTTGCCCTAGCCGCCATATAACCATTATCTGGATTTTAAAACATCCGGTTGACTTTATTCCACATATATTTGTGATGGTATGTAGAGGACCTTAATGAAACTCGGAGATCATCTTTTTCTGTGGTAATGGCAAAAATGGACAAAAGCATTTCAATACTATCCCTATCTCTCATATACCAAATATTTGATTTTCAAACTTCTGATTGACTTTATTCCGTATATATCGGCCAATATGTAAGATATCTTAAAATTAACTGAACGAATAATATTGGACATACTATAGTGATATACATATATGTACGTGATATTTAACAGTAATTTGTAATTTCGAGTACTAATTACGTTTCGATTTGTTTGTGTAGGTTAGGTAACATTTTCTCTAATTGATATTGTATCATTGAATTTAGCAAATATATAACTGTACTTTAATTCCTGGGCTTCGCTAATATCTAAAGTTTTGTAAAATATATTTTTAGATAGTACTTGAACCAACGAATGCATCTACATACACCTAAAGTGAAAGGCATTGTTTTGAAATCCAGAATTCCAATCAGTACATATAACAATCTGCTCTTACTTAAATAAATAAGAGAGCAATATGTTCAGAGCAGCGTGGCCGTTTTGGTACAATCGGGCCAAAATAGGTAGTCTCATTTGCTTAAAATTGCATACTTTCTTGTCTGCTATTCATACTAACTAAAAAATAGTGAAAATAGTTATGATCTGCCTAATGTGTGGAAAATGAGAGATCTAACCATAATTGAAACTGTGAAATAAAGATGAAAAGTGTCAAGAATCTGATATATTCACCCATTTCTTTAACTTCATGCATCAAATTAAAGAAAAAGGGGCTCATGGGCATGTAAATACTTTTAATTTTAATTTTAATTTAAATAATTGTTAATATTATACTTTTCAACTGGTTTTTAGGTATAACAATAAAGTGCCTAAAACCTGCGCAGTGAGCAAAGAAAATTATATAGACGTCAGGTAAATGAAAGCTTCCATCATCTTTTGTAGTCAAAGCAATCATATCATAGGGAGTGGTTTAAAATATTCGGTTTGCTTGAAGATAATGAAGAGTGTACATATAGCTAAAGTTAATTGAGCTTAAAGGTTTATTTCTATGTATGCACATATTTTTCCAAATGTGAAGTGAAATAAAGCACAATGTTTTATTGATAAGAAAATTTGAAACAGATTTGGTAAGCACATTGGTACCCAAAGAATTTCTCGAGTGGCAACATTGGTTCCCAGTACAAAGCACGCATTACTGAGATGATATGTCTCTCTGAGAACCATAGTTCGTGAACATCGAAGCTTTGAAATAACTTGCACTTACATACATATGTATGTATGTTGCATGCACTTTTGTCGGCACATATGGGACAGTATTTCATCTCGATCCATTTTATAAATCGACAAGTAACCAATCCTAAGTTTCCCCCTAGCACATATGCAGAAAATTGATATTTCGCATGGGTTGCCTACTAATATTCTACTACTAAAATCTCCACTACTAACTCCAAATACCTCAAATATGCTACAGTGTGTTGCCGTGTTATGTTATAAAATATATAACTTTGAAGAATGTTTTTAATACATATTCAAATATTTTTCGATCATTAAAATTCATAAAGATTAAATTTATATAGTTTTGCCCAAAATATTATTTTTTGTATAAAAATATGATTAAATATTGTCAACTTTATCAAATTGGTAATGTTATATTGTTAATGTACAATAATTAATATTCATGGAGTGTACCTATATATTTATATAGTATACTAGCTTTTACCCGCGGCTTCGTTCGCATCGAATCCATCAAATAAATAACTGATATCATTATAGTAGATATGGATCCATATAAAGAATATATTTTATATATATTCCAATTCTTAGTTATGAAATTACGACGACGCGTGGTTCTTACTTCTGCATCATTAATTCTTCTTGCCTGCAATTGTTCTTGCGTTTCCGTTGCTCTTCTAGCTTCCTGCTGCTAAGCTTGTCTTTTCGAACGTACTCGTGCCTGATGAGAAGTTTCAGCTGCTCTCAAAACACGTTGTCGATCTGCTTGCTGTTGCCTTCTCAGCTCTGCTTGAACTTCACATTCTTTATTTCGTGTAACTTTAGCCTTACGCACCGGCGTAGAATTTCTTGACAGCGCCGATTTCCGCTTTCGAGGCATTTTTATATTTAATAAGAGTAACTAATAATATTTGTGTTATTTCTCTGATTTACGTTTTTTATACATTTATGTTTTCTTTCATTTTTAATTTTTTCGACAAACAATCATTTCTGCCAAACTTTTGTTTTTCAATTTCAAAATTTTCAAATTTATTTTCCAAACATATATAATCTTCCAAAATAATTTTTTTAATAATCCGTAAAAAATTTATAAATTTTGTAATAAAAAGTATCCTATGTTCATTCTGACACCTCTAAGAGTATATGTACAAAATTTCATGATGATCTGTTAAGTAGTTTTTGCGTGAAAGCTTAACAAACAAACGGACTTTCGCATTTATAATATTAGTATAGATATAAACTTTTGTTTCGAAAATATTCTTGCAAGTTTTCATTAATGTTTTCCATTACAAATACCTGTTCACAAAAACTTATTACACTACATTCCATTTACTTGCATCTCTGAGCCCAAAAAAGCAGATTTTGATCAGTTGATAAAAAATGTGTAAAACTGATGGAAAACAGCTGGTTCTTTTGTTACTTGTTGGTTTATAGTACAAACACCAACAGATCGAGACATTGTGTAAAGTTTATATAGTTTTTACATATTTGTACTGTGAGACATTGTATCAACTATTTAAACTTTACACAATGTCTCGATCCGTCAGTGTTGTGTATGCATGTGAGCTAAGATGAACAAACAAACTGCAGCGTTGGTGACATGTGAACAATTCAAACTATTTCTCCGTGCGAATTTCGAAAATTTTGATGATCTTGTAAACTTTTCTGCAGTTCGAGCCTTAGATGACGGCGAAAACTATATTACTACGATCATAAGAATTCGTGCCGACATAAAGCTGAAAGGTAAGTTAAGTTTCCCACATACGAGTGCAATTCAAACTGAAATTGTTTATATTACGGTTTTTTTGACTCTGTTTTTATTTACTTTTATGGTGTGCTTTCGGTTTTTAGATACAAGCCTCCAACGCGTGCAACTCATACTGAAAATACCCTTGAAGGTTAATGAAAATAAAGGGAGCGAAAACAACGAAGAGAAAGTGCCAACTTCAGCAGACGATTATCATGAATTATTTGTCATCGAATCGGATATGTATGACAAAATCGTACCAGAGTTGGAGGGGTTATATGCAAATTTCGATAACAAAATATATTTCAAACCTAAACAATATCGGTTTGCTCATGAACTAACTTGCAATTATATTCTTCTGGAAGATCTACAGGCAAGGGGATTTAAAAATGCGCCAAGGCGAGAGGGTCTCAACGTAGAGCATACTAACGCGGTGCTAGCAAAGTTGGCGCAGTGGCATGCTGCTTCCGCTAAGAGAGTTGAAATAAGAGGCGATTACCCAGAAGAGTATTTAAACAGTTACTTCTCACAGCAGAATTTGACCTTTATTGAAAATATGAATGCTGCATTCAATGAGCCGTTTGCCCAGTGTTTGGAAAGCTATGATTTGCTGCTTCCAGAGAAGGAGATCATTGTGAGTAATTCAGTGTTTTACTGCGGAAACCCGTGAATTTTACACATTTAAGGTTTTTAAATTTTTATACTCTTGCTATAGAGTGTAATAGTTCTGATGACTATCAGTCTGTCCGTGCAAGCGATAACTTGAGTAAAAAATAATGAAACTTTGTACACATACTTATTCCTTGGCATCCAAAGAGGGTTGCTATTGCAGATAGGCATAATCGAACACTGCCACGCCTACAAAACGCCATTAATCGCAAACCTATTAATTGCCATAGCTAAGCCGCAAATTAGGATGCAAAAATGCAATTTCGTACTGTATCGCATTTGGGAGGGGCATCTGTGGTTTGAAAATCTTAAAACAGTGGGCGTGGCCATTCCAACCATTCAAGCTATTTGATCCAAATTTGCACAGAACAAATCTTTTCGACGGATGCCGGTGCCAAAATTATACGATGGGTGTGACCCCGCCCACATTTAAGTGAAATCACATATCTCCAGACCTACGAAACCAATTTTAACCAAATTACCTATTCTCATTTTCTTATATTGCAGTGCAAAACTTGAACTACAACCACGACTATTTCCCATATGACAGAACTTTAAATTTCATCTTATTAAATCACTTTCTAGAAAATAAATTAAGTACCAATGAAAACTTGCCCTAGCCCCAACTAATATCAGGATTTACACACATCCTGTTGACTTTACTCTTATACATACATATATTGGTGATGATATGTGATGTACCTTAAATAACCTCAGACAGCATCCTTTTCTGTTAAGAATATGTGGTAATGGATAAAATGCGGCCCCTGCTACCCCTTGCTCCCATATACCTAAAATAAGATTTTCAAACTTTCATTTGACTTTATACCGTATATATCGGTAATTCTGATTATGTCATGACAATACAACAAGCCCAGAGCTTTATCTGCCCCCAATATACTGTGTGTAGTGATGTCCGACTTCCAGCTGAGTAAATAAAACTAAGTAAGTCTATGAGCTATAATATAACTTAATAAAATACCAAATTTGATTGTAAACAATTTACGATTTCGTCGCATAATGAATGTTGAATTTTTTCGAAACATTATTTAACATAAAGTTTTGCAAACACCTGAAGGTCATCGGCTTTGATCCTAGCAAGTTGCAAGAGTATGCAATGTTCGTTTACACTCGAACTTAGCGCTTTCCTACATGTTTTATTTTGTGTTTTCTTTTATTTAAATTATAATATTTGAAGAAAATTTTTTATTTTTTTATTTTTTTATTTTTGTACCTGTCTTATGAACGTTTTACATCAGTTTTCAAAACTTTAAAGCATTTTCCCCACAACACACATTTTCAAAGTTGGTGACCTTCAAAACTACTGCACCAATTCGTTTGAAATTTTGAACACTAATTTCCGTAAATAGAAAAGCAGATTAACAATTTAATAATGTAATTTTTTGTTGTCTGCATAGTTGAATTACATGAAAAACATGAATGAATTATATTTAAAATTTGGCACTATCGATGCACAAGCCTTCAATGTTCTTAACCACGGCGACTTTTGGATAAATAACATCATGTTTCGGCACAGTGAGGATGACGGAGTGACAGTTCAGGAGGTGCTCTTCGTTGATTTTCAACTGCCCAAGTATGGAAGTTTCGCAATGGATGTATTCTGCTTTTTGATGACTTCACCACAATGGAATATAAAATTGACAAATTTTGAAAATTTCATACAGTTCTATCATACCGAGCTAGTTCGAAACTTGACAACATTAAATTACATGAAGCCAGTACCTACACTCGATCAGTTAAATGCTCAACTGGAAAAATACGGTTTGTGGGGTATGTAACATATATAAAAGTTTATATTTATTTTTATATGAATTATAATTATTTACTCCTACAGCTTTTGTTTGTGTTCAGCGGATGCTTGCAGTGGCTTTACTAGATCCGCATGAAAATTCCAACATTGAAACTTTCATGAGCAATAATGAGGCGGGAAAAGCTTTTAAAAAACGCATGTTTTACAATCCCAAATATGTACAACAAGTGAAAGAGATCTTGCCTTGGCTAATACAGAAGAATTACTTGCATTACATGACGCAGATCTCATAATTGATTGGTATTTAACAATGCAACGCCTACCTATAGTAATTATAATAATTCGGTATTATTACAATAAATAAAAAGCTGCCCAGCTTATTAAATTTCAAATCACTCATTTTAATTATTTCTACGGTTTGTAATATATGAAAATTGGTTTGATAGACTTATTTGGTAGTTCATATAGAGGTAAGTTAATTTATTCAACTAGGATCAAACATTTAATATTCATCTTTTGAGTCCACCATTAAAACTGTTTATTTCCTTGAGAAAAATGCGAAAAATTGAAAGTATGTCACCTTAGTTATATATTGTTCGAAATGAAAAAACAAAGAACAAATAAAAAGAGAACGTCGCTTTAACAATTGTATATTCCGAATGAAAGATATCAGTTGGAGATTAAATATTTTCATCTAATCAATAGGTTCAATATTTCCAACACTCTACTTGTATTAGCATACTAATTAAAGTTTGATATCATCGAAATCGAAAAACTAGTTTAAAATGCAAAATATTTATTTGAAAAATAAAGAAAAATGAAAATAACGCAAGCATAAACGGTTGATGTCATAATAAAGAGTAACCTGACGAACGACTACTCTCTTAACCTAATGCAAGTACTGAGATTTTATCTCTAAGAGCAAACTTGTGGGCTTTCAACAATTAAACTAAACATTTCATTTAAAGCTGCGAATTGTTGTTCGCTCACTCAAAGTTGACTTGTTAAGCGTTGCTTATTACGAATGCCACATATTGACCTCGAAAATGTCGATGACGGAAGCAAAATCTCATAGAAGTGAGTCTCCGAGCAGTGACGAAAACGTCAATAACAATGATGCTAAAGATAGCATTGGGCCTTCAATACCCGAGTGTGTAAACGCCGAACCGTTTGTAGACTTATTGAAGTAAAAGAGCTAGAGTTTCAGAAAATGAGGAATTTTAAAGTGAAACCTGCATTGGCGCCAGGCGAGATATACACTACAATACAGATACACATTAAAATTGATATCAATACACGTTGTAAGTTTGAAAAGTTTTTTTCTTTGTTTTCAAATCATAACATAGGTGAAATGTAATGTTTCTGCTACCGAATAGCTGGCGAGGAGAAAATACTATTTTATATGATGAAAATACCAATTGCTTCTACGCTGAGCATTTTGGAGAAGCACAACGTATTTGACATTGAGTCCATCATGTACCGTTCAGTAGTGCCCGAAATGGAGCAGATGTATCGTGATGCTGGGGTCGAAGTGAAGTTTCCTGCAAGGCATTATGACATTCAGACACTATCGAAGTTGGTCAACTGCTTCAACTCGCATACGTATACAGGAGCAATTTAATGGCAGTTTGATAAGTTTTTCCAAGCAGGGAAATTTGATCCAAACCAATTTTGTCTTAAATCACGGTGATTGCTGGTCCAATAATGTCACGTTTCAACATGATGCCACCGGTGCGATCAGAGAAACAAATTTGACAGATTATAAGATATCAAAGTATGCATAGTTAGCTCAGGATTTATATTATATTATCTTGTCTTCTGCGGCCTTCGTATTGAGATTGAAACAATTCAATTATTTCATAAAATTCTACTATGACTGTCTGGTGGAAAATCTGGCTCTGTTAAAATATCCATAGCCAATACCGAAGTTGAAGGATATTCATGTAATGTTACAGCAATACAATATTTGGGGTAAATAAATTTTTATGCCTCAAAGTAGTTTTTCATTACACATATTTGTTTGCTTATCTGACGGTAACGGCAGTTATGGCTGCCGTTTTGTTGGACCCCACTGATAAAGCTAATCTCGAGAGCTTAAATGGAGGGAGTAAAGCTGTGAATGATTTCAAAAGGCAGTTATTTTCAAATGCGAGATTTCGAAAGCACGCTGAAGTCAAATTATCATGGCTACACAACCGCGGCGTTTCGGAGTGCTGAGCTTTCATGCCAAATAAAAATAAATATCTGATATACCTAGTGCTTTATAACCATACATACATATGTATATGTTTATATGTCTATTTTAAGGGAACTTAAATTACCAAAATTCACATGGCTAAAGCTAGCAATTCTATCGCAATTAAACTTTAAGTTAGTTATTAATATTTTTTGTTGTTGTTTGTTTATTTATGGGACCAGCTAAAATATATTTAGAAATGAGCTCGAAGAGCTCTTGTTCTCTTTCATTTTCTACAACAATTAATTTGTTACAAAAAGGTCAAGCTGTAAACCGCATTGCAATCGAAATTTTCCGTTAAATGCCGACAGCGTAAGTCGATGAAGTAATACTATTAATATTAATTTACGCTGCTAAGTTTTTCGAATTCGATGTTGTGAAATAATCACTGTTTTCAAATAAAAGAGTAGGGTGATACATAATAAATTTTGTTTGCTGTAATGACTTATTAAAACTTCAGTAAAAACCATGAACACATACACACTTGGAAATGAAGGTTACAACTTTTTCTGTTATCACTAAATAATCTGAACTTTACTACTTACGCGCAATATTTAATCAACGATATATAATCATGTTTTGACTATAGATAAATTTAATTTTACATACAGTGGCTCACAGTCAAAATGAAAACGCGTTTAGTACAAAGTCATCTTTAGTTTTTCCATTTTACAACCAAATGCTGAGCTACAAGCGCAAAATTTACGTAGCATCGTAAAACATCGTGGAGGATATATAATGTGTGGGGCTGTACGAGTATGTCATCTGCTGCCTCCAAATTAAATAATCGTAATAACTTTCGGTCCAAAAAAATACGGAGTTGTGCAAATTTAACTAATTTAGAACTGTGCGCATTTATAAAAACACCAGTCTCCAGATTTGATTGCAACTGAGAATCTGTGGTCTGTTTTGGAACGAGAGATTCGATTATCTGTAATTTTTTTCGTCGTGTCCAGTAATGTTTACAATTTCATTACGAAAATATATACACATGAACAACGTTTACAAATTATTAAATTTTATTATCAAAATAATCGTTCTCCAATTGCAACTTTTTGTTCGCTGTCACCATTTTATGGTCATAATAATGGTGCGGTAAATAAACCAAACTGTCGATTCTGGTGCGAAGAAAATCCGCAAATCGTTCATGAACAACCAACTAAACAACTAAATTGATTTTTAGTGTAGTTTTAGGACTGGTGGAATCATCGGAATTGTTTGGTGTAGTTTTAGGACTGGTGGAACCATCGGGCCATACTTCTTTTGAAATGAAGCTGGTGACACCGTTATTGTCAATGGAGAGCGGTATAGATCGATGGTAACCAACTTTTTATGGCTGCAATTGGAAAAAGTTGATCTTGATAACAACTGGTTCCAATAAGTGACATTGGCCTCCAAGATGTTTTAATTTAACATGACTTATTTTGAAGTCATTGGCCTTTAGCAATAAACCAGCTTTAGAAGTCAGTATTGAACGTGCTATTCATAACATGCGACTTGATTTAGTGGAAAAAGTACTTGAAAATTGGGTTCATCGAGTTCGTTCCTGCAAAAGAAGTCGTGGGGCCTCCGTCATGTTATATTCAGAACTTAATATTATCGATTGTACTTCACACTAAATAAAAAACATTTGAATTTCCTTAACATTAGTGTGATTTTTTTTCGAAAAAAAATCATATCACGCTTATTGTTAAATCCTGTACTTTTATTATGCTCCTAAACTAATTTAATTTTGTTTGTTTTTGTTATTAACTAAATAAAAGAAATAAAACTATCACTGTTAGGCGGTATTCAAGTGTTTTTGGAAAATGTGTTTAGTTTTCAGGTAATGCTTGCTTTAGTATATCTGACAGAACTGCATCACTTTGGCTGTAAGCCACCATAGGTACATAAATATGTAAGTGTAGAGAGTATTCGTGTACTTCATATTCGCAAATGCTTTCCTTTCGGTCATAAAGTTGATATGATATTCATATTACAGTCTACTTACAGACTATGGTATTTACTATCTACTCATATTGTTAACGAATTTTAATTCATGTACATATGTATGTATGTACATATACCATATGCTATTCATATATGCATATGTACGCATTAAACTGAATGGCATCACCAGGTACTCGGAATATACATATACACATACATACGTAGTTAATTACTAAACATGCAGAACACTTAAATTCCAATTCGCAATGTAAAATTGAAATATTTAGTAGCGTACATATCTATGTAAAATGCGATGAGTGCCTTTACAATCTTAAGCACTTAGTTATGAAATATTTCCCTGCAATGAAATGCAATGTGGTGTTTTGTGACAACAAACTTCGTAGATAATATTTCGCAATTATTTTTAATTTGTATCAGTACTAAATGATTAAATTGTTTGTTGATGCGCTCTCTGTACAAAGAGCGAGACGAGTCATCCGACCCGATCTGGTAGCAATAGTGAGACAAGTGCTTGGCAAAATTGCAAGTAGTCGTGAGTGAACCGTTGAGCAGCATAAACGCTGTTCATTAACAAAAATATAAATATTTAATGTTATAATACATATAGTATACAGAATTTAGGATGTCATCCATAACCGATCAGAATGAGAATGAAGCGGCAGAAATAAAACCAGGTGTAGGTTTTGAAAATCCAAAATGGTTAACGGCAGAACTATTTGAAAATGTTCTTAACGAGTATATTCCGAAATTTCGAAAAATCACACGTTTCGAAGCTAAGCCCGCATTAGCTGCTGGAGAAAACTATGCCACTGTCATGCTACGTATTCATATAGACTTTGAACTAACAGGTTAATGATTATTTATGAAAAATATAAAATATACAATTTATTAAATTAATATATAATTTTATTTTTCTTCGACTCCGCTATTTCAACTGCAGATACATTAACGGATTCGATCTCGCTCATGATGAAGCTGCCACAGGAAAACAAAATTCTTCAAGATATGATGCGCAAGCATAACATTTTCGAAATCGAGTACAAAATGTATCATGAAGTTTTACCCGAGTTCAAGAAGATGTATCTAAGTGCCGGAGTCAATGCAATGTTTTCCGCAAATTGTTATAATATCGATACACCTTCCGAGTTTGGTGTAATATTATTGGAAGACCTTCGGCCACTTGGTTATAAGAACGCCAATCGATTGGAGGGTCTCAACTTGGAGCATACAAAGGCAGTGCTTGAGCGTTTATCGCAGTGGCATGCTGCTTCGGCCGCACGTGTCGAGACTAAAGGCATATACCCGGAGATAATCGCTAAAGGTATGTTTAGCGAAACACAGCGAGAAACAATGGAAAATTTCAGTGCAACAATTAAGCCACAATTTTTGTCCTCTATAAAAACAATTGAGGGTAGCGAAGATTATATGGACGACTTGGTAAGTGACTCACTAAATGCTTTAGTTGTTCTTTTCGCGCAAACTTTCTAATCAGATTGAATCAATTAAACACGCAGGTGAATGTTTTACATAATATTACCGATTTATTGTTCAGTACATCAAAGTATGATCCAAATGAATTTAATGTTCTGAACCATGGCGATTGCTGGAGCAACAACATCATGTTTAAATACGATGAAGAAGGCAAAATTGTAGACGCGGTACTCATCGACTACCAAATGGTGAATTATGGCTCTCCGGCGAAAGACTTGCTGTACTTCTTGCTATCGTCTACTGCATATGATTTAAAAGTCAAAGAATTCAACTATCTTATTAAATTCTATCACGAAAACTTAACGAAAAACTTAACAATTTTGAAGTACCCCAAAAAATTGCCGTCATTGAAAGAAATTCATTGTGCAATTATAAAATATGGAATATGGGGTAAGTAATTTATTCATATTATTATGAGTGTATACATATGTACAATTCAACATACCAAAAGGTTTATCAACGTCGTTCGGTGTTATGGCAGCGGCTTTGTTGGAATCCAATCACGATGCTAATATAGACAGTTTCATTAATGATTCGGATGCTGGTGAACGGTTTAGAAATTTGATGTTCTCTAACCCCAGATACCGCAAACATTTGGAAATTGTAATGCCCTGGATGAGCAATCGTGGTGTCTTCGAAGTATGATATGTTAACTACCACAATCCTTGCGCATCGAATGTGAAACACTGAGTGATTGTGTAAATAAAAATAAATTGAATATTTACCAATGAACTTCAAATAATCCATTGGAACACCAAAAGCTCTGCTGTAATGCATCAGTGGACCAACTACTGTCTCTACATCAGCTCATTACTTCACGATCATTGCTCGGGTTGGGTTATGGTTGTAACAAATTGTATCTCCGTATAAATATCAACTGGAATATGTATATTAAATCAAACTTACATCATAAAAGTTTTCGTATATATTGCAAGTCAAAATATTGTATTCAAATTTGTAATAAAAATTAATTTTACAAATTAAATCTATTATTTAATATTTCCTTCCTAACTGCGCGCAGATATTAAATTTAGTTTGCAACTCTGGTGAAATGCATTGCTATGACCTCATTTACGAGCATTTTAATTGGCAAGCAGTAATATGCACTTTCTATGCTTCATATTATAGGATGTGCTGTTTAATTTTCGAAGAAACGCACAAAAGTTATATTGTTTCACTGATACTCATAGCAGATATATTACTCTTACGCGCTATTGAAGTTTGAAGAGTAAATTTTTTCAAGATCTCTTAAAAAGAGTTGAAGTACATGAGTACCATAAAGTTTGCTGAAGAATATACAACATGCTTATGTATGCGAAAGCTTTGGCGCAAAAGCTCTATTTGAGCAAAAAAAAATATACAAACTCGTATTTTTAAATGTTTTGTTTATCAACTCATCGCTTCAATTCAATGTCGTCATTAGGCCGGATTAGCGCATCAGTCTAAATTACCCAAGAAGAAATCGAACGAAGCTGGACGCCTGCACAAACGATTTTTTTCGATAATTGAAATTTTGAACAGAAATCTTTTCAATAATTTGTAATTTTTTCTTCTTCAAGTAAACTTTGTTTTTTTCACCTTGTTATATTAAATAACAAGGTAAAGCGTTTACTTCGTTTGCACCGAACTTAGAATACCCTTCACAAATACAGAAATTTCCATACAAGAACTTGATTTTGATCGTTCAGCTTGTATAGCAGCTACATGCTATAGTGATCCGATATCGGCGGTTCCGACTTATCTCAAAAACTGAGAGACTAGTTTGTGTGTACAGGCGTACATGGCATCAACTCTGTTCATTACGCTGATCATTTATATATTATATATATATATATGTTTTTTTTTTTTTAAAGGACGACGTTTCCTTTTGTGTCTTAAAAACTTCGTGGTTAATTTAACCCTTAATAACCTAGAGTTTCAATTTTGATACCAATATTTTAAACCGAATGTTCACATTACTATTAGTTTTTTTTAGAGGTTGGCTGTACGTATTTTACTGTTGTATAATATTCTTTCCAACGAAATTGAAAAAAAAATCAAATGTCAGTATTGTTTTATTTTATCTATGACATAATACTCGCGTGGCAAAGTGAATAAGTAAACACACCCGGACAGGTGTACAAGTACCACCCTCTACTGACGTGCGTTGCGATTGTATTGGTCATGAAAAAATATTTATGGATTCTAGAAATAAGTGTAAATTTAATAATTGTAGGAAACTTACCTCCTGGTTCTGTAAAAAATGTAAAGTGTCGTTATGCGATGATAAAAACAATCAATGTTTCGCATTATTTCATACATAGGTATATCTGATTTCTTTATGGTGTTAATGCATGAAGTATCAAAATTGATACCTGTTTTTTTTTCCTAAATAAATATGTAAAATAAATATTGTGACTTTTTTTTAGCTATTTTTCCCTTCATCTAGACCCAAAAGCAAACACAGTAATATTAAAAATAAATCACTTTCGTACATAAGGCTACTAAGGGTTAATATATCCTGTTCAGGGTATAAATATACGTATATATATAATACTAGTGGCGCACATCAATTAACACCAATTAAAGCCAAATTGAAGAGCAGTCGCATTAATTAAAATGTTCTTTTAAGTTGAAAGTGTAGTATAACCTGGAACGCATATATCGTAGCCGTAGGGGATTTTTACTTTTTATGGTCGAGGCGGATTCTTTGACGTTGTGTTTCAAAAAATGTGCATCAGCATAATTCATTGCACACATATGTACATAGGTATGTATATGTGTAAAAAAATCGCATCACATGTCCCGGTAATAAGCAAACACTTAACTGTGCATATGTAGACATATCAAATTTATAACGAAAGCAGGCCACAGCTCGAATCAAACAGGTACACTCACAAAACAGACTTATCAATCAAACATTATTAGTGGCACTCACGGTTCTTGTGATATGACCGTTTTGCCAATCGCATAATGATAATGATACCATACATAGAAAGTGTCGATAGTGGCCCAACCTGCCATTGTCGATGTTAAAGTCAGGTAGGGGGGAACACGATTGGATGAGGAGGCATGATAAATGAATGTAGTTGTTGCATTTTTCTTCATCGGCTATAAATCGAAACAGAATAATTTTGTGTGTAGTAAATAAACTTCAACAAATCTAATTCGACATTTGCGAATTCGGAACAATTCTTAAACAAACCAAACACATTTCATTCCAGAACCAGCAATCTTTCGGCAAACATTGGGTGCGACCGCTGCAATCGTGCAAATAAAATACAATTCTATCTTTATAGCAAGAGGTAAAAGTTAATGATCAAGTTCCTCCAATTTATACTTATACTTTCATTTTATTTTTCACTAGTAATGAAGTTAATGAAGTGTAAGCAAACATTTATTTCTCTTAATATAAAAGGAAAGAAATGTGCCTAGAAATTATCAGTACAAAAAAAGTCATTGGTTTGTATCGAAAACTGTGATTGATAAAATGGTAAAACTTTACATGTACATATGTATGCACAAAGTGAAAATAAAAAACTTCTGATTTACTACAAGCGTTAATAAAAGTAACTTAAGTATAAAGTATAGTGAAAAGTGATTATTAGCTGCCCGTCATCAAATTAAAATTATAAATGGGCTTAATTCCCGACACTTTTGACAACATGACGAACTGAACATACTACAAGTATACTACTTAACATGAAGTGTGATATAATCAGTTAGAAAGTTAACAATAATTCTGACATTTCTAAAAATAAAATGCGAAATTTTAAATTGGTATTTAATTAAAATAGAAAAGCATAGTGAATGTGAATATAACCATTCAAACATTTATAGGTACATATATATGTAGGTGTCTAAGTTTAGAATACTTTTTGCGGTGAGCTAAATGGTAGTTATGCCTTAGTAAAAATTGACATTTACTGTAAAAAAAAAGTTTGATTACTTAGTGCTTTCCCCATATTTTTTTTTTTTTTTTTTGATATTATCGTCTTGACAATATCAGATATTAAACTCTGAGAACTGATCTTAAAATATTATTTATTTTTGAATGCGACATATTTTAGATATCTAAGGCATGTAGTATACTCAAACAACAAGTGAAAACTAACTCGTACAATGCTCCACATTTAGTCACCTGTTACATATTTTTTTTTTGCCGAATGAGAAGTTATACGAGGATGTATTCTAATATTCGTGTATGTATACTCATGTACTTTTAGGGATGATTTGCTCAGACTTTTACAAGAAGGACTGTATAGCTCCACCCACAAACTCAAGCGACATCTGTATTTCGTTGATGCAAAAATATATTTTTCCAATTTATAACTATGTATATTTTCCCAAATTATTTGTATTTAATTAATAATATGCATATATATGGTATGCATGTATTCTTCTAAGGTTTACTAAATGACAATGACTAACACACCAAACGGAAATGCCGAGAATGATGTTGGCAAACTACCTGAGTGGTTGGAAGCAGTAACTTTTGAAAATGCCGCACGCACGCATATTGGTGAAGATTTTGGCAAAATTGTCAACGCTCGATTTGAGAGTGACCCGAGTAGTAAAGCCAACTATTCCTCTTTACTGCTACGTCTCCATCTGGATGTAGAGCTTACAGGTTTTTATGCGCATAATTATTTGTATTACTAGAATGTTTGATCTTGTGCTTTATACCAATGTTTTATTTTAACACACTACAATTTCACATACAGATGGCAGTATAAAAACAGTTACCTTCGTCCTTAAAGCACCGCATAGCAACGAAATAATGTCAAAAATAATAAACCTGTTAAAACTTTTCCCGAAGGAGGAAAAAATGTACCACAGTATTATACCGAAATTCGAAACGCTATACACGCAAGTGGGCAGTGATATTAAATTTGCCCCGAATGCGTATCAATTTGATCGCGACATAGGTGTCGATTATATTTTACTGGAAGATCTACGTCCAAGAGGTTATAAAAATGCCAATCGAATCAAAGGTTTAGACTTGGAACATACAAAGCATGTGCTTCAGAAACTGGCCGAGTTTCATGCTGCATCCGCGTGCTACGTGGAACACTTTGGAATGTTTCCCGAGGAATTCACTGTTGGATTTTATTCGAAGAATAATACAGAACTCCTGAAGCAATTCAACTCGTCTAGTGCATTTTTAGCGCAATTGAAAAAGTGGAAGAATGGTCAAGCGTTTTATGAAAAGTTGGTAAGTAGTAGGTTAAATATTAAATATATATTTGCATTAAGGACCTCTATCTATACTGAAATTTTGCTAATAAGCAGATTACTATTATTAATATTCAATAGTATGCTTTTAGAAATAACTTATATCCTATCTTTTAGGCTGACAGCGACAGCTACTTGGTGGATCGTCTGCTGCAGGATCAGACTTATAATCCAAGTGAATTCAACGTACTCAACCACGGCGATTGTTGGGTGAATAACATTTTATTTAAGTATAATGCGTTCGGCAAAATTACGGATACTCGTTTTATTGACTTTCAAGTGGGCAAATACGGCTCGCCAGCTAATGATCTGTATTACTTCATACTATCCTCCACTGCTGCAGACATCAAAATAGCACATTTTGATTACTTGGTTCGTTACTATTTCGATAACCTGGTTGAGAATTTAAAACTTCTTCAATATCACAGACCTTTACCGAAACTTCGTAATCTCCATTCCGTGTTGCTGAAACATGGTCTAACAGGTAAGAATTGTAGATAATATCCATATATGCCACTTTATTTAATTGAAAACATGAAAACAATTAATTTTTTAGCCTATTTGGTGGTCTCTAAAATATTGCCCGTCGTAATGCTGGAGAAGAGTGGTGATGAAACCAACAGAAATGGAACGCAAGACGAGGATAAACTTAAATTTGCCATGTATACTAATCCAAAATATGTTGAGTCCGTATCGGAGATTTTACCGTGGTTGGATAATCGTGGTTTGCTGGACTGGAAGGTCTAGCGACCTTCAAATGCAACGATCTTTAGATAGATAGTATCATATGCTTCTGATGTACTCGTATAAACATTTACGATGTACACATAAAGTTCATTAAAACATAATATATTTCTGATTAATAAACTTGCAATTACATACGCATATTTATGGTCAATCAAATTGTCTCAACACTTCACCATAAGAGCGACCCTTTCAACTTTTGGTAATCTTGAATTAGCAATTTCATCGCTGCCGTTTAAATCTTGCATTGTGCTGTGCAAAGCTTCGAGAATATTTATGAGCCATTATCCACTCATCTCAAATTATGATTGAACTTTTCCTCAACATCATAACATCGAGTGACTATAGCATATAGTTGCAATGCGTACTGACCGATCAAAATCAAGTTCTTATAAAAAATCATTTGTATTTGTGAAAGGTATTATAGCTTCGGTGCAACCGAAGTTAACGTTTTTTCATGTTTTATTTCAACATCTCCCTCACCAAACGATATTGACGGCATACACTCAATCATTTCCAAACAAATGTTCTTCTTGCGCCTTGTTGCAAATGCTTTAATTTGATTAAATTTAACCCGTTATATAAACAAGTTGCAAAATCATGAAAAAATAATAATATAACATATGTAGGTGAATAATTCGGCTATAAAATATTGCGAACCCTGCAATGAAGAGTCAGTAAATATGCCAGTTTACTAAAAAAAATTCCTGTCTGAAATTAACTAGCCAAAAAAAGATTTCTGGTCGAAATCTGAGCTTTGTGAAGTCGTGGGAATCAACACGTAAATTTAAAATAATTTTGAATTAGTTTATGACAAGTATATTTGACTAAAGGTAAGCTCATGAGCATCACAAAATGATGATGAATTAAATTACAAATTCATGCATATAGACCGCTTGACTTCAGATTACTATTTAGTTACTTTTTTTTTAATTTTACTTTCAACAAAATATTTAAATTTCATTGAAATGAAAGTTTTAAGTGCGGCAACAACGAAATTGTGTACATCAAGTAATCCTTTGAAAGGAAGGGGTTTAAATTAAAGATAACTGAAAACAGATCATAGGTGACTAATATAGAACATTACTATAAAATAAAGTCATTTGGAATAAATTAAGCAACCAGTATATCTCTACGTAAATATTAATTAACTCTCTGAGCTTTTTGTAAGCTCGTTTATATAAACAGCAAGTGTACACAACTGACATACGCTCAGCTTCGGTGATTCTAGATAAGTTAAATAATATATACAAATAAACACATAAATAAATGGCTATGAGCGTGTAACTGAAAGCTATTCAGAACACAATTTGTACGAGCGTTTAGTTTCCCCTTAACATTAGGTTACGAATGTACTCTAACAGGTTTAAATATTGAGCTCACATAACAGATAATAAAATAATGGACGACAATAGCAAAAAATTCAATTACAATATACAATTGGACATTCCTAAATGGATAAATGCTAAATATTTCGAAGTCGGGATAGGCCCCAGACTCAACTGCTAATAAGGATATTTTAACACTCTAATAATTATATTAAGATTAGTACAAATTTTGTTTTTATTACTTTGTTTGCGCTTATATTTTCTAACCACAATATTCGAGATGATTACACACAACAGAAGTCGTACAAGTATATTGTCAAAACAATGCTGGATAATGATGAGGGCGGAACACTTATCAATACATTTCATCTCTTTTCGAAGGAAAGACTTATGTATGGAAAAATTTTTCCTCAGCTGGAACACTTTTACCATGATCTCGGCAAAAAACCTAATTCGCACCCAACTGTCAATGGATCGAGAGAAAATCCAGTCGCATTACTATCGTTCTCGAAGATTTCAGTACAAAGAAATTTCGAAACATGAATAGACTCAAAGCATGCCATTTAGCAATATTATGCTAAATTACACTTTAAGTGGTAAGGTGAATCAAATACGCTTCGTAGACTTTCAACTATGCAAGTGGGGCAGTCCAGCACAGGATCTATGGGAGCTTATAGTATGCTCCGTTTTGAGCAACTTGTGTATTTGTCAATTTGACCAATTCATACGAATTTATCATGCACATCTGCTTAAATGTGAAAAAGTATTAAATTATGCCAAACCACCGCCAAAACTCTCCCACCAACATATTAGCATGCTGAAATACGGATTATAGGTCGAGAGTTATTTTCCGAATAGACACCCTGTTGGGATGTATTATATTTTATTTTAATGCATTTGCATACATATACATATGTACTAATATCTTTCACAGCGTATCGTACAACATTTACACATCTGGTTTTGATACACCTGCGTTCAGCTTAGGACGCCAGCTTGGTGGCGCAGGCAACAAAACCCGACACAATTCTTATACCAACCCGCTCTATATGTGCGCTATGTTGGATATTTTAACATTTTTGTATAGACGTGTTTTTATCGATTTTTAATAGGTTAAAAGGCAAAGAATTAAAAATCAAATCCCGTACACGTATTTATCGGGACATGTGTTCAAGCAAGGAATATTCATGGGTAATATAAAAAAAAAAACAAAAGAGTATAGTGCTTAATAGCTTTGTTTCATTTATTTTCAGTACTTATTTAATATTTTTAAGGTTTGCCGATATATGTTATAAATATTTACACGTGATAAGGACTTATCTACAAACTTGTACATATTATACATATGTATGTACCATATGTACAGATATGCTAGCTTTGAAACATACATACATGTTAGACTTCCACAGCTACATTTTCGTTTTCTATTTTTTCAAAAAAGCTTTCTGTTGCTATCAAAATCAGCTGTTTGCGCTTAGGCCATATGAAAATGTATTACATATCATGCATATATATGTGCATGCATTATTTATATTTTTTGCCCCGCATAGAGAATTTACAATAAAATACAGAGCTACACCAGAACGTTAAATAAATGTGTGTAAACAAGCATATATTCAATGGGAATGAACGAAAAGCTAACTGCTGAAGCACGTGAGAGCCAACCCCTCTCACTCACTTTCAAAAGCGGCAGGTTTCCAAAAGCACAGTACTATTTGGACCGTCATTAAGCTACAAACAGTTGCAGAGCTAGACATAGAACGCCAGTTAGCGCCAAAGCAGTCAATTTCAGTCAGGTGACTACTAACACAATTAATAAAATTGAAAGAATGTTAGATTTTATGGACATTTTTCCGAACTTTTGTTAGAATGGGTACAGGTGCGAAAAACTACCAGCCACCGGAATGGATTAATGCTGAATTCTTGCAAGATGTGTTAAAGGAATATTTCAAAGACGATACTTTAGAAGTGCAGGAGATAGTGGTGAAAGATGCGCTGCTGACTGGTGATAATGGCAGTGGCTTTGCTAGCGAAATGCATCGCGTAACATTTAATTTGGCGCGGAAAGACGTTACCGGTCGCTTCTCGGTTATAATTAAAGTAAGTGAGCGCATGTTATGATTGTTGTGCACATACTCGTACGTCACTGCTGAACTAACCAATTTTGTTAGGATCATCCAAAAGGCTATACTGGTGTTGTTGCACACAAAAGTAAATTATTTAAACGTGAAATTCTGGCCTATAAAGAAATTTTGCCGCGCGTAGAGGAGTTGTTGGCTTCTATTGGTGACAAAACAAAAATTGCGCCTGCATGCTATTATACCACCGAAACGCCGGAGCCATTCCTTGTGCTTGAGGATATGCAACTAACGGGTTATGAGAATTTTGAAAGATGTCGTTTGCTTAATCTAGACTATACTCTGTTGACCATTGAGAGGTTGGCAAAGTTGCATGCCTGTTCCGCGGTCATCGCTAAAGAGACACCGGAAATTTTCGATTTTTTCAAAGAAGCCCCCATTTCTAGGAATCCAGACCGCAAGGAATTTCTTTCATTCTTTCCTGTTAATATAAGATGTGTTGCTGAGGAATTGACACACTGGAAGGGTTATGAAGAGATCACAGAGAAAATGTTCAAATTGGCTGAAAATGTGCTTCAAAATGCGCTTGAACTGTACGAGTCACATGAACAGAGTTTTCGAGTTTTTAACCTAGCCGATTTGTGGATTGACAACTTAATGTTCCATATAAATAATGACACAAAGGATCCCGATGATGTGGTCATGGTGAGAATGCAGTATGTCGTACATTTGTTAAATGGATTTGACTTTGTTTTTTTTTTTGCAGTTAGACTTCCAGCTGTCCTACTACGGCTCACCGGCCGTGGATCTGAATTACTTCCTTTTTGGTTCATTAAATGAGAATGTGCGGAAAGTACATTTTAAATTTATCGTACGCGAATATCATCGCATATTGAAAGAAACATTAGAAAAGCTTCATTATGACGGTTATATACCAACGTTGAAGGACATAAATATCGAGCTTATTAAGAACAGTCTTCTAGGTACAAATATGAGTTATAGCACAAATGCAATATGAGTATGCGCGATATAATTAATATTTTAATTTCAGGTGTCATCGCTGCGACATGCCTCACACCACTTATCTTCATGGAATCCACGGGCGATGAAAAACTGGAGAATCTTACCTCACGCACAGAAGAAGGCGATGAAATGAGACGACAAAATGTTGAAAATCCCAAGTATCGGGCATTTCTGCAGCGCACTGTTAAAGAGTTCGAGTTGTGCGGATTTTTGGACAAGTGAAAATTGTTATCATAAGTACATACCTACATACATATATCGATATATTATGCATAAAATATGAAAATAGAACATATGTACATACACATATATGAGAAAACATAGGTTAATAATTATAAACTCTACAGCATTGTGTCATTATAATAAAATAGTTCAGAGAGAACTTTTAAGTTGCTGAAAATCAAATAGACTATACTGTACGTTAAAGAGTACAAGGCAAAAGTCCTATTATATTTAAACAAAATATTTATCTAATTTCATGCAACATATTTTAATGTTAGGTTAGGTTAGGTTAGGTTAGCGGGTCGATCCTAAGAAGGATCACACTTGGACAGCTTAAACGCCGGTCCGTTGTGGTACCCAAAACTCCTATGAGCCGGATCAATAGACCCTTACATGTCGACAAAGCGCTTTGTGCCTATGACAAACTTGTTGAGATGGCCAATATCTGTTTCGGCCAGATCTTCTGGACCGCCAAAAGTATGATTGCCGAGATGTTTCAATCTCAACCTAGCAAAAGCCGGACAATGGAGGAGAAAGTGCCGGGATGTTTCCACTTCACCCTCCTCCATACAGCTTTGACAACTGCCATCGGGTAGTATTCTAAGCCGCACCGCATGAGTTCCCATTGGACATTGCCCAGTGAGAACTCCTACCATGGCGGCGAGGTGAACTTTGTTCAAGGCGAGAAGATCCCCCGACCTCCTGCGATCCACTCTCGGCCAGAAGGATCGCGCGATTTTAATGTTATAATCAGGAAAAAAATAAAATATCGCAGCAACATACCTACATATATATATAAACCGTTGCTCAGAGTATAATAGTTTTGTTCTCCTAACGGTTGTTTGTATCATCTAAAGCTAATTGAGATAGACATATATATATATATATATATAATCAGGATGGCAAGACGAGTTGAAATCTGGATGACTGTCTGTCCGTCCATCTGTCCCTCTGTCCGTGCAAGCTGTAACTTCAGTAAAACTTAAGATATCTTGATCAAACTTGGTACTATAAGAAGTTCGGTATTGTAGATGAGCGATTAACTTTTATCATATGATTAAGCTTCAGTCTTAGGTCTTGCTTAATGTTCGAAATATCTACATTAAGGCAATTTGATTAACAGAAATTAGTATAGCCACAATTTTAGCACTGGGACATAATATGGACCGATAAGACACAGTTCTGCTGCAATCTAATCGTTTTGGTCGTCTAATTTTTCCTTGCAACATCTAAAACTAGTCAAGATAGATATTGAGCTATGCAAATCAAAATGATCAGAATATTGCCGTTAAGTGAAAAACCTATAAACATCTACAACTAAGCCACAAATTACGCTACCAATGAATTTAGTACAGAGAATCACAGTACTTGAGACTTAAAATTTCTAGAAAATTGGGAGTGAATCGTTCTATGAAAGGCTTAATTTACATATATATCTCACTAATCGGTTACTAGTAAAACTAGTTAAACGCTAAAAAAAAACGTCTGAAACGTCAAATTTTATTGTAAAGATGGTACAGCAGGGTTGCATGTGACTAGGTGTGAAAATTGGCACTACTCACTTTAAGGTCAAAACGCACACCACAGCAACTATTTAACCAATTACAAGTTAATTTGATACAGAATATAGTTTTGAATTCCTTCAGATTCCTTAATTTTACAAAAGAAAAATTAAACACGAAAGACATCGGAATTAAACTTTTCACAAAGAGAGTATGCATGAAGTGACAGTTATCATGTAAAAAAGAGTCGAAATCGGCTTAAGCTCTCATTTACTGAATGTGAATCAAATTGAAAGGGCTTCCTTACCCGATAATAATGCGCCTTGGTACCAAAGGTTAATAAAAATCGGTCCATTATTCCTTTTCGACCTAATATAATCGAACCTTTTTGGAAGTACTGTAGTTTAAAGCTGAAAAAGGTTGATATCAGCCGACGAATTACAATTTACTAACATATATACAGTGAATTTCGTTATTCTAGTGCAAATTTGACAATGGCTAATGATATCGAATACAACTATCTTAATTAAATTAAGGACACAATTTTTCTTGGCCACAACGGGGTTTGTGTTAAACCTGAATGTAATCGGTATAAACTTTGGCCTAGCCACCTAAACCCAATTTTAAGATTTTTATTTTCTATTATATCTATATTATTGGTGCTAAAAATCATGAAATGAGTGCCGCCTTATTTGAACATCGATCATTAAGTTCTCAGTTTTTACACCGATTTCTGACAAAGAGTGAAAATGGACCCATCATTACATATCTGAGTCCATTCTGGACTACGAACACCTTCAAGAATCCGTAATAAAATGTTATACTCGTACTTACTATATATGTATGTACATTAGAGCTACGCATCCTTCTGAACATAGGCAAAGTTGTTCAGAAGGATGCGAGAATATGGGTCTAAAACCGGTTTCGAGCCAGCGATATTTTAGGTGAAGTTTAATTTTACAGGATTATAACAATTTCTTCGTTAGTTTTTGAGATATACGAATGAAATTTAATACATAGGAGCATTTTGACATTTGTCGGAATCGTTCAGATGTATGCATATCACATTTCTCCCATACAACCGATTATTTAGCTATTTTATTTTCCGGTTCCCTGACTTTTATTACTTCATCATTAATAGACCTATGGTAGATGCCAATAAATATTAAATAAATGTAATGATTTAAAAAAATAAATATATTATAAAATATATTTTTTATTGTTATGATTGTCTTTCGTAAGTTATGAATAGTTCTGTAAGAGAAATGTTACATAGAGTCTCACAAGAAAACTGATAAGGCTGAAACATTTGCAAAATATATAATATGTATGTAGATGTATATTCGGAATGAAAAAATTTTATTAACCTCTTATCGGTTATTTTCTGATGGCGTAAAAATGTAGAAGGAACGAAAAATTAAGTGTTTAATCGTGCCAGAAATATTTTATATAAAGTGGATTATTTGATAAAACTTATTTGCTAAAACTTTGCCACTGTTAAGATTATAAGGTCATTTTCAAAAGAAAATCTGTAGGATTTGGTAAATATTGCCATGTATGGAACATTTTTATTTATTTCAATATAAAAAAAAAATGTATCTTTATTATTTTACTTTATAACAAAAAAATAATTTACAGCGTTAGAAATCACAAGAAAGCAAGTTAAACTATTGCTCGTGATCCAGCAAACCACGTCGTTCATATATGGGTAGAAGACTTTTTATAATACGTTGAACATAAATATTTTTAAAGCATGTGTCCTTGAAGCGAGTAGCACGCTGGTCATTCTGCATAATCGCTGTAAAATCTGCGTCTTCGGTATCCTCGTTTCGCTGAACCGCTAATATAACGCAAGTAGAGTTAAACGCTGTAAAGCAAAAGTTAACGTTAAATATTTGATCACTCAAATTTAATTTTATAAAAATTACAGCTCACCGTAAAATGCTTTTTCTTCAAGTTGCAAATGAAACTTGTGTAAGCTTGGAATTTTAGCTCGGTACTGCAATTTGTTTAATGTGTCCGAAAAAGTTTCATAATAACATTTTATGAGCTCATCTTGACGATTCAAATGCATATCCTCCTCCAATGAGGTATTAAGAAAATAGTGGAGATCTACAGCCGGCGATCCCCAAACAGCATATTGAAAATCGATTATTATCACATCTAAAGGTTCGCCAGTATTTTTGTCGTATTTAACCATTACATTGTTTGTCCAGAGATCACCATGCGCCAACACATTCAAATGACCTGGAATAGGATCAAATACTTGTTTTCCTAATTCCGTATACTTAGTTTTCAAAGCCATTAACTTGTTCGCGTAATATTGATAGCCGTCCCACTGGGCAACACGTCGACTGCAAGCCAACAATAGGCCTTCAAACCCGGGCATATAACTGTCTGTATGCCTATTAAAGAAACCACGATCAAAGGTTTCAAGACAACCATTTTCTCGCTCGTTTAATACTGCTGAAGAAGCGTGCATTTTTGCTATTTTGCGTAGCACCATCTTTGACAAAGTCATATTCAGCCCAGCTAAGCGGTTCGGCATGACAAATTCCCGTACATTTAAGTCTTCGAATATGAGTGCAGAGCGTTCACGATCAACCGCTATAGTCTCAGCAAAGATTTTGTCGTGGTCACCTATTTCACACAACAATGCATTTAGCCGTGGCAACACATTTTCGTAGATAGACATTTCACGATTAAAAATATCGTACGGTTCCATAGTTTTTCGTGCAAACTCATCGGCTTCAAAAGATGCTTTTACGACATAGTGACCAGAGAGTACAGTGCCCAAGTGTGTTTGACATTCGGCACGAATGCGAGTTAAAACTCCACCATAATTTTCACCTTTTCCAAGCGCTGGACGAATGTTCCATTTGAGAATTTTTAGCTTTTGATCCTTGTAATGTTTACGTAGACACTGTTCTAAATAGTCTTTTGTTAGCCAAGTAGGCGTATCTGACTGCTGGAGATCTTCACTGCTTTCAACGATGGGAGCGCTGAAGGACTCCTTGGATATATTTAGTAAATTTTCCGAAGAATTCATTATACTAACGTCAGACGTCGACATATTGCACACTGATTTAAACACAACAAATATACAGTAGACACTGGAGAAATCGTTTAACCCACTCAAGGCCGTATATTCAAATAACGAAGGAAATACTAGAGATGTAACCTTTTATATTTAATATTTGATACTTGCCGTGCCTCGGCTGAGACGACACGACTTAGCCAATTTTTATGACCGCCCTGATTTACAACATTGTGGAGGAAAGTATATTTTATTTCAATTGTTAGGAAAATGGATATACACTGAGCAAAAAAAGTCTGCGTACAAGGTATCAACAAAAATAAATTGTTGGAAAAAATAACTTTATATGGCTTTTTATAAAAACCAATATATATTTGATAGAAAATCCATTAGAAAAAGTCTGCGTACAAGGTACATAAGTTGAATAAAGTTATTCTTGCTACAAATTCTTCTTAAAATTTAATAGGAACTCGGATATCCCCAATTTTTTTAAAACTTCCGCTAAGGGGCTTTGCATGGAATAGTCAAGCTTAGAGGTTTCTGTCGAAGCGATGTGAGTCCATTCCTCGTGCCAGTACCAGTGAATCTCATAAGATTAAAATCTGTTGATTCTGGTGCTGTTTGAAGCTGCTTGAGAAAGTTGTAGTGTAACTAAAGCTTAACTATGCCTGCTGCATGCTTCGGGTCGTTATCCTGTAGCAAATAGGAGTCACTTTCAAACCCAATGCCTCCGCTCTTTGCTTCAAATTTATTGTTAAGATATTAAGGCATGCATATTTAACCATTTGGCTCACACAATTACTAGCTATGCACCACCATATCATTGTTTCTTCACCACCGTTTTTCTCAGTATGCATCAAGATTTCCTTATAGAGTGCCGCGCCTGTTTTTCGCCATAAAATCTTAGGACCCTTGTTTCGAAAGACGCAAAACATGCTTTCATCGTAAATATTAACTAATTCTTTGATTACTCTTTGTATGAAAGAATGTGTTCTTCCAACAATTCGAACGATTTCAGGGTATGTTTTTCCGTGTTCGAAAAGTTTAACCATTATTACGCTTTCAGGTGGGCTTATTTCTTCTCTTTTAGGCGAGATAATATATTCTAAATTTAATAACAAACTGAATAAAACAAAAGTCTTTAAAAATTGCTACTTTTACGAAAAATAGTAAAACTCTAACTTTCCGACATTTTTACATTTGGTTATTACGTAGGGAATTCCCATTTTACTACTTGTACATAGACATTTTCTGCGTTGCCAAATGACTATTTTTTGTAAACTTGTCTATAAAACTATGGTGCCAGATTTTTATTGCTTTAAATGCTATAGGATTATGCAATAGATTAGTAATAAAGCACTTAATATGATTATGCTTTAAAATTATGTGTATAAAAGTTATTTTTAACAAAAGAAAATAAGATATAAGCGTGTACGCAGACTTTTTCTGGCGAGTGTACATATACAAACATATGTGAGTTAAAGTAAAACCGCGAGCAGTCACAAGTGTGTAAAATACAATTATATTACATATAAATATTTCTAAAGCGCAAATTAGCATTTAAAGCAATAAGTTCTTACATACACACTCGTATAACTCATGAATTCACGAATTCAATGAACCACGCCGGAAATTTAATAGCAGATGTTGTGAAGCGCGTTGCAAATACTAGAGTTAAATAAAATAACGAACACAATGATTAAAATAAAATAATAGTTTTAAATAAAGTTATATGTTTTGCTTTTTCAGAAGTACAACAGCCACATCAATGATTTGGTAAGACGAACTAGTGACACTGCTTACAGAGAGGATTATAGTCCCCATACATCTTTACTAGAGTCCTTACTTTATGTATTTTTCGATAAGAAAGTACTGGCAAGGTCTCACAGCATGATATGTACTAATTGAACGTTTTATTGTATAAAAGTGTGCAGAATGCAAACTCTATTTATAGCCCAAATATTAGTGCAAATTAATCCAAAGGCGGACTGTTGGTCTGAGATTAAATAGTATTGTACTGTTATCCAATGCGCAAACTTATAAAGAAAAGTTTTGTATTTCTTGTGCAATGTTTACCGCTGGCGGCTTAACCCTTTACCGCCATCATAATAATTATAAACAATTTTAGTTTAATCTTACAAATTAGCATTCGAAAAATAACTTAGTACTAATAGCGAGTTGTACAGCTGATCAACGTAATCTTTAGCTTACCTCGCGTCGGGCTACTCTATTTAACGAACAATCAGTCCTGTTCAGATTATTTTGTAGTTAAATAGGAGCAATGTAGATATTACTTCGCTTCGCGTATAATAACATACATAATTTTATGTAAATACTTTATATTCCTACAAAATCTGAAATATGTGTACATATTATATATATAATATGTATACCGTGATTAAATACGCAATGTCACACACGTTTGTAACCTATTCTTTGTACTTGATGAGTGGTTTTGCATTATTGGAAGTCAAACGAAATAAAATCAGCTATTAATTTAACTCGATTCTGATTTCTCGATTCTGATTTAAATTATTTTCAAGTAATTATAGATATACGAGTACATACACAAGTACCTATGTATGCATGTACTAGAGAAACGGGAAGGGTAGACTTGGCGAAATAATCTAACGTGATCATTGAAATACATTGCACTAGACCATTTCTCTCTTAAACTTGCCAATCAAATTGGTTGCTTCAAGAATATTTCCGGCAATTTGTTTGATGAACGTGAAACGTGATTTCTGGCAAGGTCTGTGGAAACTTCTTGCGTTCTTATTGCTTTTGTTATGAATGTCTAATGGCAACTTGAATGCTATTCTATCATTCAACATACATCCGGCAAAGTTGCCAAAGACTAACTATACAACTGCCAATGCGATTTTCTATTGTGAACCTATATTTTGCATCAGAAAAATGCTAGGACGAATAACGTGACAAAATCCACAATCTAGTATTCGCAGAACTCCAAATGAGAGTGTGCACGATAGTTAAGTCGGTATACATATAAAAACCGCTTGGTTTATATCCTGCATAAAACCATCAACCGTAATCTTTAGATATGACTTATATTGAAAAGTCGCTCTACAGGCAGAAATTTGACTCGGAATAATAGAGAATGTTTTTGTATACTGGTTAAAGTAGTTAGAGCATCGTTTGGGCAGTTGTATCAAGCTAAAGGAGACTACACGTGCAGAAATAAATACTTATTTTTACAAAATATCGTGTTTTTATTTTTAAATTTTTTTGTAGGCTATGTACATACGAACCGCCCTCGTACGAGCTGTTGCAAAAATAGCGTTATTTGAACCAATTTTTAATTTTGCTAAACTTCAGATTATTAAATGAAACTATTGTTTACATCTGTTTTACAAGTCGTGTAAGCGCAGCAATGTCATTCCATTTATTGAGTAAAACATCTGGTGCGTTCTGCTCAATTACAAGTTTAAAGTTGTGAATAAAGTTGCACATTTTTCTTAATACGTATTTACTCAAATCGGCTGTATGTACAGTATATGCTGGAATTATTTCGATAAAATAAAACAATTCTGTATAGTTTAAAGAAGAGAGTCAAATTTAAAAGAAACTGATTTTCTACGTAAGGGCTATAATAAAAATATCTATACGCCTTTTAAACCATTTCAGTATGGTATTCATATATTGTAATAATTCGTTTAGATTATCAAATTTATTTAAATATATTGTGGAAATTTGTTAGTCTGCCTGATTCACTTCCAAAGTCCTCGTCTATGGAATAATGGCAATAAGTTTGTAAGATTTTTCTGAACCTTCTTATTGCGGTACAAATTGTATTTGAATTTGATTGCACGCTCATCCTCGCCTACCAAAGAATTAAATCTGCATCATCTGTGTTTCATTATCATCACCGGTTGTATGACACACGCCGAATGAAAAGCTATAAGAGTTAAGAAGGATATACATACGTAAATATGTATGTGAATATAAAATATTTATGTTAAAAAATTACCGAAAAACGTTTCTGTTCAACTTGTTGACGGAAATGGTTTAACGATGGTACTGGGAGTGAACTATAGCTCAGTCTTCTCAACACATCGCTGAAAATACATGATAATATTGAATAGAATGTCCTGTTTGTAAAGGCGCAAAGGCTCCTGCAACGAGGTGTTGAAGAGATGGTGCAGATCTAATGTTGGGAGCCCAAACGAATACTGAAAGTCGATGATGCGCACATCTACGGGTTCTCCAGTCTGCGGATCGTATTTGAACATAACATTGTTGATCCAGACATCGCCATGGCCAACACATTTACTTGCCCGCGTGTGGGTGTGAAGCAACGTTTTCCGATTTCCATGTAATGCGGTGCCAGTCTTTTAATTTATCACCATACAACGCAAGGTCGGGCATATTTTTCAAAATAAACTCAGCACATGACAACAGGGATCCAACAAAATAGGTACTATAATTGTCGGTGTAGCGGTTAAAGAATCCGCGATCGTATTTTCTAAGTGACCATTCTGACGCTCATTAGCACTGCGATGTAGCATGCATTTTAGCCAACTTTTGCAATATTAGTTTTGTATGTGGCATATCTAGGCCATGCAAGCGATTCGCCATGATAAAGCCCTTCTCCACAAGATCCTCGAAAATCAGCAATTGACGTTTGTAATCTACATGGATGGCTGTAGAAAATAACTCATCTGAATCATTGATTCGCGAAGCAGCTCAGTTAATTTAGGCAGCACTTCCTCATAAATGAACATTTCACGATTAAATATATCATATGGGGCCATTATGCGCTTGCAATGGGATCGCTTTCGTAGAAGTCTTCACAATAAGCTCTTTTCGAGTCGCTGTTGACTTCTGCTAAGTTGATATTTTGCTTTGACACGAGTCAAAACTCCACCAAATTCTCACCCTTCCCATAGCCGGTTGGACGTGCATGGAGTATAGTTGAAGACTGGGATCTTTATGGTGAACACGTAACGCCTCCTGTACATAATTCTCTGTCAGCCACTCAGGCAAATTCAGCCTCTGAAATGCCATTTAAATTTTTGTAAAGATTTCTGATGCATACAGCGCTTTTATATACGAAATCCCAGCGTTAGTATTTTAACACTTTGGCTACATTTGTTTAAATAAGCGTTTAAAATTTGAACAAAAATTGCTGCTGAGAGATTTAAACAATTTACTGCACGAGAAATACGCTGGGAATTTGTATTGTTAATTATATTTGCATTCCTTCATGTACAGAGTCGATTACCCTTTGTAAGTAGTCGCTGTGATAGCACGTAATTGTAGGAGGAGGAATTGCGTTCGCCTCCGAATGACGATGTAGGTCTTATATTTAGACGGTATTACTTACGCAAATATAAATATGACTTTTGTACATAAAAGTAAATGTAAATAAAAATATAACATTTTTAGACAAATACCTGTATAATTAAAATTTAAAGCTAAAGATTACGTTGATCAGCTGTACAACTCGCTATTAGTACTAGTGCTGAATACATATGTACGCATATACATATATTCCTTTTTAGCTGTCTCGAAGACAATCAAACTTCAAACCACGTCGCTACTCTTCAATCTTGTGCTCCCATAACTGCGCGCGTCGCACAAATCTGCATAATCGCAATTCAAAAAATGGTTCTATGCGATCGATGGCGGCAAAGTCAGGTAAATGCATGGCTATATGGCTATGAAAGAAAGCGAATTTAAATTGTTTGCGTAACTGCAGATTCATCTAACAAGGGCAATGATATAAACAAGACTACCCTAACGAACATACTGCCAGTGGCTTTGATACAGTCTAAATCTGCGACCACTTCCACAAAAATCATGTTGATTCCGCTTAACTTGTTTGACGGTGACGATGATGCCAGCAAAAACACCATGAAGACTTTATCTATTATTCGAGAACATGCTAGACAAATTGAAGCTTTTTCCGAAAATGTATTGGGCACAGCAGAATCAACACATTATGGCGTGCCATTGGCAAGTAATAACGCTGAAACATTGCTGGATCAATGTTCTGGGCAAGACGATGTTACTTTATGGACTCATGACGAGGAAATGTCCAATTCACATGCATTACAACATTGTGAAGAGACGATCAAGAGCAAGCATATATCGCTTTACGAA